TTTTTTTTTTTCAATAGAACTTTGAAAACTGAGGACAAATGCACCGCTGCAGACGCGAGAATATGGAATAATCAACAGAAATAGACAAGGAAAAAAAATAACAACTTACATAAAAGCAAAAAACACAATTCTCTCTACATCTATAAATGAATAGTTTTGTAATTAGAATTTAATTATGAACTTAAATGCAGCCAGCCACATATCACATGGAAAAAATGGATAAACATTTAAACCGAAACCAACAAAAAACTTACAAAACACTTCGAAGACTACGAGTCTAAAAAATTAAGAAGTTTAGACATCATTAGCTTACTGCTATAAGGACTAAACAATTAAGAGTATTATTACAAGACAACAGTTTTAGACATGTGAAAAAAAAATGACTGAGATATGCATCCTTGACAATAAAAACAAAACTAACAATTAGAAAAATGAGCTCTGTATTCATTTGTGATGGCAAAATGATATGGAATCGACAAGCAAAGAAAAATTCATCTGTTAAAACATTAACAACTTATCACAAACTAAGTACATCTTCAAAATGAAAGCACTGAAAAAGTAGTGGTTGTTGCACTATTACCGAATGCCTAAATCGACAAAAATTTCCTGAGGTTTAAAGAAGAATGACCTGAAAAGAATGAGGCTATCAAATAAATTAAAGAACAATAAAGCTTTTAATGTAATACAAACCTAAACAATGAGACCATCGACAGCATTAAGATTGAAGTACTAGTAGAACCAGACTTTGTCAGCAAATCGTAGATCCCCTATTCTGCTAGAAAAAACATTTAATCCACCAAAAACAAGATTTGGGTCCCACTAGTAAGGATAATATTGATAATAAAAATAATAGTGGTACCATTATAATTGTAACTATAGCTATTATTATTGTTATCATGATGAAATAGTAGCTAAAAAATTGAGAACATTTTAAAAGACTAACTGGGTAAAGGCGGAAATTATCATAAGTAGAAGAAAGTTCTTCGAAAGTGTACTGCTGTAAAACTCGAAAATTGTTCAAGTCTGCATTTCTCGCGCACTGTACACAATAAACAATATACTTTCCGTTCTCAGGTTTAGCAAATACCAAGTTCCATACTTCAATCTAAAAGACAGCATGCACATCTCCAAAGCAGAATAAAAAAACTGTGGAGTAAGGAAACATCAGGATTACCAATAAAATGAGTAAACATTACCTCACAAATACTGCAGTAAGGTGAACTATCACCCTTGTGGCGGGAGTGCATCTGAACCGATTTTCCAGCAACGGTCACCATATTATATATCATTTTGGTATAGGCTAATGAACGAATGAGAATATTTTTAATCATCGTAAATAACTTTTGATCAGAAAAACGAACATTACGAGCTAGCTGCCAACTTAAGTGTTGAACAGGCACAAGTGACATATAATTCTAAAAAAATGTCATATAATTCTTTTTCTACTATTTCTTAAAGTAAAATTTAAAAACCTTTAGAATCTTAATTGTTGAAGGAAAAACAATGAACCTACATGAAGCTTGTTCCATTCATGGCTGAAAAGAATCATCTGATACTGTTCTGCTGTTAATGGTCCAACATTCCAAGCAATGTTATTACACCAACCAAGGCTCTGCACCCAATGAATGGTACCACTCCCAACATAAACAATATCACCAGCTTTTTGTATAAACCGGTGCACCGGAATGCCAGCTTCAATCAGTTCCTCATAATCAGGCCACCAAGATCCTTTTAGGAAATCTAGATTTTTCCTGAAACAAGGTAAAGAGATTAAACAACTAGCCAAGTGATAAAGCCTTCAACGATAAGAAAAACTGAAATACGGCCCGAAAGTAGTTTCTAAAACACTGAATATGTAACAATGGTTCAGCGTCATCAGTAACAGTAAAAAGAAGTACTTCTTAAGCATTTCATTCATAATTCCCCAATATTCATACGGCACAGCAAACCATTCACAGTCACCTGGACCAATGTTGACATTGACAGAGGCCAGACAATTGCTATCCTGATGACCAGGTGTCCGCGCACCCGGCACCTAAAAATTTATTGGTGAATTGAAGACGCTTGCATAGAAATAAAGATAATCCAAAACCACCCAACTTACCTTTAAATACAACTGAACAGTGTTCACAGGATGTCCAAGATGAGTAAGCATATTGCAACCTGCTGCAGGTCGACAAAAAGGAGGCAGTTTTGAAAGTTCATTCAACTGCTTACTGCAAAACAACAGATAATAAATATTGAGCTTAACCAAAAAGAAAAATAATAATTAATAGTCAAGTAAAGCCCAAAAACTAACTGAAACTTATTTTCATCAGCTAGGTCCACATTGATGCCAAATTTCAGAGTTTTCATAGGCATCACACACTCGTCTTGAATTGTAGTACGTCTCCTCTTAGATGAAACATTGCAGCCATCTGCAGATAAAGACCCGCCATATTTCGCGCCAGCAGCGCGCAGTTTCTCTGCCTCCTCCTAAACTGAGTTCATAGACTAAGTTTGAAAAAGACATCAAAACAGCAATTAAAACGCTGACTTAACCAAATTTGAATATCTTATCACAGGTGCCACAGACTTTTTCCTACAGTAATATTCCGTAACTTCACATTGAATTTTAAAGAAATCTGTAGCATCAGAAGTGAAGAAAATGACAGAAATTAGAGTAGTGGCCAGACCTTTAGGCAATGCTGAAAGTACTGAGCTTGGTACTGTGCGTAGTCACGCATGTCCGTTTTAGAAGGAACACTATGGCAACTCCAAGTAGGTCTCCCAAGATGATCAACATTTATATCAGGACTTGACATGCGATACTGCGTCCTCAGTTCAACCTAAAAGCTGAGGAATTTACGAAAAACAAAAAGATAGCTAATCAGCAACTCAGGACGATTATTTTGTTAAAACCCAAATATAGATAAAAGATTCTAACAGGGTGATCTGGAAAATCGAGCAAGCTCTTTGTAGAAAAAATGGCAAGATCCATTCGAAGTGCAGTGGTTAAACCCCGAATAAGTAGAATAGGCTTGTTCTTGCAAAAGTTTTGCAGTTCTATACTGAATGCATCCTTCTTTTGTTCAATCACAACCACGTAAGTTTTTCGCCGCAACTATAAGAAAAATTTCACAAATTCCTTCAAACAAACCCGATACATTCGATATTTGTAATGGCGTGATCGGAAAAAAGGGGTAAAGAATATACGATAAAGCTAAGCAGTAAACCTGTTCAGAAGAAAGTTTTTCTGTTGGAGCTTTTGGAGGCTCAGGAGGAGGGATTCTTTCTTCAAAAACCTCTTTAAATTCCAAAGGATTTTTAATGCGTTTTTCACATTCATCCATAATTTCTTCCGCAGAAACAGTAACAGGTAGGTGAACAGCAGCGAGCAAGGAAAATGAACCAGGGAGATCAGAAGAAGATGGAACAGGTTCTACCTGTGTTGAAGCGTTTTCAAGCATATATATGAAACAATTTACCTAATATAATCTAATTACAAAAGAAAGTACCTGCACAACGTTGTGTTGTCCATTAATCATCCTTTCGTCTACCTTTTTTCCAGCACTTGAACCACTACCCACACTTGAGGTGCCGTTTCTTTCAAAAGCTTAAATATATCATTAGCAAAAATCTGAAACAGAGTGTCAACAAACTGAAAGAATATACACCTTTTGAATAAGAATACAGATGAAAAAGACGTAGTAGACAAACTTTGATTCACAAGCGTGTAGTCGTTTTTCATACCTGCACTTCCCAAGATATTCACGAGATCATCTTGAGAGACAAGAGGTAAGGAATTACTATGCAGTTTTTCCCCATGGCCCAAAGACATGCTATCCTGTAATGAAATAATTTTACTGTGTCGAACGGAAACAATATAAAAAGATAAGCGCAAAAGATTTAGTTTCACGTTAGTTCTCCAAAGTAACAAAAAATACAAATTGAAACGAATTTTGAGTCTGAGGAGGGAAAAAACAGACAGTACCAAGTCAGCGCATTTTTGTTCCAACTGCTCGAGCAGAGCTAAATTCTCCTCATTCAGGCTAGCTTTGTTTGTACGAAAAAATTTTAGCAACTCATTCTGAACCGGGGTTAGTTCGTTATTCGGCATCTAAAAGCGATAAAAATTCAGGCATCAACTTTTCTAAAAATCACAGATAATGTTTGACACATAACAATAAAACATTTTTAAAAAAAATCTGTTAAGACAAAGCAGAATTACAGTAGGAAGTAGTGACCGCATCGAAAGCAGTTGGACACCTCCGCGATATCGCTGCTGCCTCTTCTAAATTAAAAAAAACTATTTTAAATTCAGCAGAAACAAGAAAGTCAACTGCCTTCAAAGAAGTTGATATCAATAAAGCATCATGTTCAAGATTAAAGCACTTCAGAATTCTCAAAAATCTAAAAAAATCCCGGTCTAGATAAACTAAAGCTCTCCCCAGTAAAAACATAACTTTGCCTTCGAAATCCTTCTCAGTAACACTGAATGCTAAAAAGGGACACCTTATGTAAAATAACGACAATAAGCTTTGAAAAATCTACACAAGCAATGCTATGAAATACAAAACTGTACAAAACTGCAAAAATTCTTACTTAAAAATTCACCTTCAAAAAGTCCTCCTGTCGCTGATTTAACTCAGCAGGAATTGGTTGTTTCCAAGCCTCCTCCAAGCTTGGTAAGCTGAAAGTAAATAATAAGTGAGAAAGCAAAACCCCCAAAAAAGAAAGGCTCAGGGCTGAAAAAAATTGCTTGACTTTTGGGAAAAGTTAAATTAAAGAAACTGAATAGACAAAACTAATAACAAGGCAGTAATCCCATAAAACTGAAAACGATAAATGTTTACTCTGGCTGCGGTAGAGCTCGAGGGTTTGCTATTAACAACGAAGACGGGTGTAGTTCTTTCTCAAGCACTTTTATTCTCTCCTTTACAGCTTCTGGTGCAGCTACAGTTCGGTTTACAAAGATTAAACAGAGACCCAAGATATGTTAAGGCATATGTTATATATAAGATTTATATATATAAATCACCAACGAACAAATCGGGATAAAAAAGAAAAGAAGTTTACCTAAACGATATTTAATAGCTGTTTTATAGCAGCTCAAAGCGTCGGCAAATTGATTTTTGGTTTCGTAAAGAAAACCTAGATCTGTCCAAGCAGCACTATGCTCACTGTCCAATTGCACCGCACATATGAAAGCCTAAATTAGAGAGCAAGTTCCGAAATGTTAAAAAAGCAGATAAAACAATTTACAACTTACTATGTAGACCCATCAAATGGAATAATTACCATTACCTGCAAAGCATCCATCGGCTGATTTTGCTGTTGATAAAGCACACCAATACTACACCATGTGTCGGCATCTGCTTCAGATTTGTCGATGGATTCACTGGAAAGAAATGACAAAAATCAACTAGTTTATCGTTTTTAAAGATCATTGGCGATAGATTTGAGAACTGAAGATGCTAACCTTTTTCGATCTCAAAGAATAAGAACTTAATGATAAAATTTTGAAAACCGCTCACCGATAGTTTACAAATGCATCCCTAGCACGTTCTGTTAACTCTCCATAACAACGACCAAGGTAATAATAAGTCTTGCCACAAGACGGCTCCAGCTCCCTACTTTGTATCAAATAATTTTCTGCGTCTTGGATTTTTTGGGCACGATTCTGCATAGGGCAATCAGTACGGTAACATATCCAGCCTAGAAAAAATTTCAAAACCCATAAGATAAACACTGAAGTTTGTCAAAAAACCATGTCATCTTTTGTTATACAGTTGAAACTTATTTACCAACCTAACTGTCTCAGTATCCTAGCACGTAGAGATACTGAAAGTTGCGTAGTGGGGTCTGACAAGAGAGACCTATATTCACTAAAGGCCTTCTCCAGGTCTCCTGCACAGTCGTAGCAGTGTGCAACTTGGAAGCGCAGTTCAATTTTAGGAAAGAACCAGCTTTCAAAAGAACAATTTAAAGCCGCATTGAAACTCTGAAGTAAAAAGAAGCAGTTTGAAATAATCTGCAAAGAAAACAAAGTTTTGTCGAGTTATTTAACAATAAATTTTACCTTTAAAGCCAAGTCGTAAATTTCCAAATTCTTGTAAATAAATCCCAGCCTTGAATAAACTTCAACGACATATTCAAGGTCAGGATAAGAATAAAGGAGGCGATTAAACGTTTCTGCAGCACTGAAATAATAATATAAGGAGGAACCTGCATTCTTAGGAAACTGCTCTGTAGATGAATCTCAGAAGTGTGAATGAGAGTCTTGCGCAGAATAAAAAAACTTCTCATTAGAAGAATCGTAGAATGAAAAAAAAAAGTAAAACAGTAGCAGAGAATTAAATCCCAATCCTTCCCTTTTCTTAGATACTAGTGAGGGAAAGTAAGATGTAAGGAAACTGTCGCTCAGTATGTACCAGCAGCTAAAAAACACTTCTTCTAACATAGGACACAAAGTTTATAGCAAAATAGTTAGCATTTCTAACATAACGAAGGTTACTTACAGTAATGTCTTATCCCCACCAATAACCTACCTAAAATGGATGTCAAATTAAAAAACAAGTACGAGGCTGAAGGACAAGTTACTAAAGAACAAACTGTAACATCAATTCACGTGAACATCAAACAAAGCACCATGTTCGAAACGTAGTTTTCTTTTTGAAAAAAGACAATTAAAGCGCAAAACGTGGAAAGTTCCCAAAACAATTTTAAAACCCCTACACGCTTTTAACTCCAAAACAAAAAGTAATGCTACAGAAAAACACTAAACAGTTCAAAGGATCTAGAGAAATTAATAGAGATGAACAAAAGAAAGAGCTTCATAAATTTTCACTTTATGCCTAAAAAAAATCACTTCTGCTACGGACAGTAATTGACTGCCCGAGTTTGAATTGTTGTCCACTAATGATCATGGATCAAAAGATAAAGACTCAGTAAAAGCAGCATTAAAACAGGATAATTGTTTAAGACACACAATTTCTTTGTTGTCAAAGGAATAAAGAGCTGGTAAAAAATGCATCCATGTGATTTGCTTGAACAGGGATTTTGTTGTCTTTTTCATGTAGTAAAATTAGAATACAAAAAAATTCCGTAAAGGACTGTAATTAAATGGCGGAAATTCCAATGCACTCGTCTGAAAAGAGTGGATCCGCTCCAGATTCAAATCAAAAACTAAAAATTATCTAAGACGTTTAACTACGTAAGGAAACTGCTCGTGATTTACTTACAATGGATAAGCTCTGAAATGGAAATATACGAGCCCGAGACCAAAAAACGCAGAAGGTACCTTCCAAAAAAGACCCGGTGCTGTGTTGTAAGCTTTCTGGTAAGCTGATAAAGCTGAAAAGCACCGTTTAGAAAACAGGTCCCGAATTTATTTTGCTAGATAAAATCTGTAAAAATATTCCCTCCTAACAAAACTGTTTCTTAGAGAAAATCGACAAAAAATCAACCTTTAGCAAAATCTTGTGCTAAAAGATTCGCATGCCCAAGTTTCAGGTAGATAGCAAACAATTCATTTTTCTTTTCGTTTTGCAAACCGCGATCAATCAAATAGACAAGACGATTTTCATATAGCCGTATACCCTGAATACATTGAGAAGGTTGAGGAGAAGCACCATAAAACCCAACTGCTTTAAAAAAAACTTTGACAAAACCAACTTTAAAAAGAACAACTTTCTCAGCGATCCTTACTCCTCCAGCGTCTTCGTTCCAATAATGTGTAAAATTGAAGCTAAAAACAATAATGTTCTTTACATATGAAAATTAATAAAAAAGTCTGTACAGCTAATTGCATCACACTTTCTCACTGGATCTTAACTGGAAAAGACCAAAAATTTTCCAGTGAAATGATACAATTGTAATAAGGATGAAGTGAAATAAAAATATTCGAAAAAAAAACCAGCAAATGTAGAAAATTAAAAAAATACCTGTTTAACTTTTCAAACTCTAATCTTTCTGCTGTCATAAACGATGGCTCCAATGCAAACTCCATTATCACATAACTTTTACAACACCTTACAATAAAAATAATACTTGCACGTAATAATAGAAAAAAGTTGTAGCAAAAACAATACGCCTTTTATTTTTTTCTTCACCAAAAATAAAAAAAATAGCGTAACCAAATCTTTACTTTTTTTCTTTCGCCCATTCATTAACCAATATTATTTATCCTCTACAGTTCAAGACTTCTGGTTTTTTCAAATCGAGAAGAACACTGTCCAACCCGTGCAAAGAATAGGTTCAAACAATAAGAAAAACCAAAAATTATACCA